CGGTGATTTAGTCTCATTTAACATGGTACAAATGCCTCTTAAGATTTGTCAAATATTTTTAGTTTTGGAGACTTTCACATTTACATTACGAATAAATGAACTCTTCAGTTCTGGATAGCTGTAATTCTGATGTATGACTCATCTCAAATTCTGAGAGAAGTGATGTTATTTCAAAGTTTCGAAGTAGAAACACATAGGCCAATGCAAACCTATGTTGTAAAAGTCATAAGCATATTACAAACAATAAGGTTCAATTTAAATCTATGTATTTCGTTCGAAAAAAATAACGAAAAATGAAAGTTTAGAGAAGTACGATACATATATATGATTTATGGCAAGGAATGTGTCATATAAGAATAATGTAAAACAGATACCAACACAGTGTTCAATAACATAATCCTAAAAACTGGGATTAATAATCTTACCCACTAGATAAGTTGTTTCCTGAAATTTATCTACATATAAATAATGGTATGAATTACCATATTTAAACATAATCCTTTCGAATTGTTTAGTTTGAATACTAACCATGTGTTTGTCTTTACACTCCTTTTGTAAATAAGATGGATATCTTTCTACACACTTCCCTATTTCTTTACTATATACTTCGTTTATGCCTTCCTCACTATACACTTTCTTTATCAAGTCAGGTTGGATAACATTGGATTAATCCAGTTATGCATGTGTGTATACACATCCAATCGTAGTTACATAATCATGGGATGTAAGAAACAAAACCAGTTCAAGCGTGATAATGTATATCATATATTTATGAATTACATTTATGTACATTTTATGATATTTCCTTGAAATTTTAGATTTCAGACAACTAAGGTCAAGAGAGAGGCCTGTTATTATGTAGTTATGTTAAGCAACATTGGTGGTTTGACTGCGAATTACTCGCCCTAATTACTGCAACATTATCATACTGTTTATTTCACATGAAACTTATTGTCTTTTAAATGTGAATACTATTTATGCCTGCGTTTTGGAAAACATAATCCTACGGAATATTTTATTAACGAGTAATCATTATCTTAAATATTTTGTTTTGTATGTAATGTTTATTTACTGGTTTTGGAGATAAACAATCGTGGAAATTCGACCACTTGATAAAACCATTTTTGAAATGATTTTAGTCATTGGTGTCATGTTTTGTTTTAATAGTTTTCTTTACTTTATGTAAACACAAATCACCATAACAAGTTTAGGTTCACTAGATTAATCGTGTGTGTAAATTATCATGCATAATTTACTTCACAGCATTTAGGATTCAACAAGTTGGTTCTCTCTGAATTAAAGGATCCCCAAATTCATCAGGTCTGATTAGTTGGGTACTTCCATCAGGTTTATTTTTCTTTCATTAAAATCAGAAACCGATCTAAGCTATACTATTATTGAAAACCTGTAAGTGATGGACAGGAGTATCGTTCTAGTCTAAGAATCCTCAGTGATGCTCATCCACGACACCGAAGTTATGAATCGAACCCAGCATCTTTAGCCTCACTTAACTTCTAAATCATCTGACGGTGTTCAAATCTAACTTTAATCGATCACCTTCCGTTGTTTTTAGTGGATAACTGACACACGCCCGACACGGTTTAGCCTAAGTAGTTACAGTTTCTCACAAAAACTCCGATTTCCTCTCGAAGCAAATCACTAGTGGACAGATGATTACCAGTATAGGGTTGTGGAGATAATAAAACGAAATGGCTATCTAGCACTCCCAGGTTTTCAATGGTAGTCTAATTTAGATTAGTTCATGATTTCAATGAAATTTAACAATCTACACAACTTTATACTGATAATAACTTTTCTTTGTCTTTTTGATTGATTAGAGTATCATATTACTTAAGCTTTCTTATTATCATTAAGTAATAAATAATTCACGATTAGAAAATATGACACCGGATTAGAAAATTATTCACAGTATTTAAGGTCAACAAGAAAAACTTGTTATAATGTTCGAATAAATGATTATGGTTTATTTCCCTATTTAATGAATGTTTATAGAATGATAGTCAAGTGAAAACTCATATCATCCATGTTAACATATATATATATATATATATATATATATATATATATATATATATATCTAATATAACTGAATATTAGAGTAATGGATTATGTTCATCTAAATGAAAACAATCTTACTCCATTACATATCTTGTATTAGAGAGGGATTTTGTGGAGATTGTAGCAATTTCAATAGTTCAGATCATGAGTCAATTGAAGCTAGATCACCATGGAAAACTTGGAAGCATTTTATCCTATTGTAAGACTCCTCAGCAGTGCACATCCACAAAACCCCCTCTGATACTAAACAACATATGCTCACTAGTGACTAGCTTCAAGGTGTATATCCTGGAGTTCTAGTGAGAAGCAGTGACCAGTGGAGTTCAACCGTGTTTATTGTGAGAGAGTAACTCAATGATGACAATGGTGGATGTGTTGTTCAATTTCGTTGATTAGTTGAAGTAAGACATTCACACCGTTGGATACTGGTTAAGCGCTCGTGAGGTGATAGGTTCATGGTCCGAATCCCGTGAGGCAGGGTTGTGGATGTGCACTGCTGAGGAGTCCCATAATAGGACGAGACGGTCATTCAGTGCTTCCAGGTTTTCCATGGTAGTCTAACTTCAATTGACTCATGATCTGAACTTTTGAAATTACTATAATATCCACAAAACCCCTGTCTGATTTTAATTTATTATTTATTATAAAGTTGGCAAGTAATATTTATTTATAAATATTTATACAGAAGATAATTTCTAAAAAGTGTGTTAACATTAAAATAATTTTCATGAATTGAAAGTTAGGCATTGGTAAATTTAATATTCCTATTCTCTTCCAAAATATTAATACTACTACTAAGAAGTAAGGAATGGGACACAGTATGTGAATAAGAAAAAAATGATTGAACAAAATGATCGTATGACAAACACAAATACAAACTCACACACACACATACATATCAGGAATATGTATGTGTATTCATCATCATACAATATAAAACAGTGTAGACATATAGAGAACAAGCTGATAGTACTCACATACCTTCAAATGTGTGTATATGTTGACTTTTGGATTATCATGATTCTAGAGAAATCTAATGTAAACTGTCAAAGTTATCCCATACTCTAACTGGCTGGCATGACTGCTTTAAGTATAAACAACATTACACTGTTGCTCAACATATATATATATTGAAGAACGATACATAAAGTTTAATGTAAAGTTTTGGTAATGGAAAAATCTATTCCCATATAGATTTTTGTAAATATTATTATTAGTATTACTCCTGTAATAAAGTGAATACAAATTTAAAAGAAAACAGCTAATATCAACTGAAGACAATGCCTATGCGTATACCACAACCAATACAGATTTGGTTCAATTCATTGCATCATTATCGTAAAAAGATTCAATCTCAAAATGATTCAATATTATTAACAGATAATACTGATGAAAAATTCATTGATTATAATCCATTATTAATTGGTGGTATTGAAAATTTATTACTTGAAATGATACCAAAAAATTCTAAACCAATAATTAAAAATGGTGCCAATGAAGTTGCTCAATGGATTTGTGAAAATTTAATTATGTTATATGATGTTAATGAAGATGATTGTTCTAATAAGCCAGATACAATCAATCAATCAAATATACATAGAAAAAATCTACTTAATGATTTACAATTCATTACAATTGAATTATTACCAACAATTATTTATGTATACTTTTGTTTATTTAGTAAGTTTCAAAATCTTAGACTATTGTGAATGTCAGTAGGGTATTTCTTTTGTGTGTGAATATTATAGTAATTTCAATGGTTGAGATCATGAGTCATTTGAAACTAGACCACCATGGTTTGATTATTTTACTCATACTTACTTATAGTTATCAATATGAAAAATGTGGATATTTTAATTGTCTAAATACTTTAAATAAAGAATATGGTGAGACTATAATCTATGAGCGAGGCTAGACTGATCTTGAGAATGTCCACCTAATAATTAGGACCAAATGAAGGTTATTAATTAGTGTGAGGTATTCAAATTATAATTTACAGTTAATGGTTAAAGTTAGGAATTAGATTTAGAGTTTTCATCACGAACTAACATCAGCTATAATGTTAAGATTCTATTCAGCCAAATGGATAAGTGAATTTCATGCCAAAATCCGAGATCTGAAATCTTATATCTGATTGGTTCGTACATAAATTATGGGTCTCACCAAAAATATATTCCTATCGGTGATAATTATATTGATATTTGTCAAAAACATTTTTATCTAAGGTTTAGGTAGACATCAATGAGGTTATTTCTTAAATAAAACAGTTATGTTTAAAACATTTACATAATCTACTTTTCAACTTTATAAATTTTGTCATAAAGTTTCATATATTAGATTTGTTTTAATAAATTAATTATGTTAGTTGAACAATTGAGAAGCAAATTATTGTAAAATCCGAGTGCAACCACCACTGTTCTTGTACTGTTTTCCTATTTGTTTTGCATTTAAAGAAACGAAATTGAAATTCATGTACAGACGATATTATGGTGTGACTAAAGCTGTTATTAAAATCAAAATTGGTGAAAAAGAAGTTTGAGGCGCCTAATCGTTTTTAGATATAATTTTTTTAATGCATATAATTTGTGTAATGGCAAATTACATGAACATTAAACTGGAATTCGTTCCAATATCGCATATTCTGTGCTGATAATGAATTGTTGTCATCAAATACATAGTTATTATAACAAATATAAAACTTTAACAAAATATAAAGTTGGATAATAATTGATTTTTTTGGTAATTCATTTATCTGCTGAACAGGTTCAATATTAAGCAATTTAAAAAGGAACTAAAGACAAAAGATTTTTAGAATTTCACCATACAGTTTCAGTAAATAACAAGATAAACGGAATAATATTGAAAATGGAGATTTGTGTGTCATAAGAATGAAAATGAATGATAAACACTATGTGATAACATTTTAAGATTTTTATGAAGTAAGGAATACAATGGACAGGTTGTATGCAACTAGATGATTTGGACTTCACAGAGAACCTAGCTTTTCTATCCTTTACACACGAACAAATGCAAGTCAAGACAACCAGTGTCGCAGAAACCTCTTCATCAGTGGGCCTCAATATACACAAGGGAAAAAGCAAGGTTCGAATACAATTCAGTGAGCACCAAACCAATGTCACTTGATGGAGAAACTCTGGAAGAAGTGTAAAAATTCACTTACCTGAGAGGAAGCTTCGATGACCAAGGATGATCCGATGCAGATGTAAAGGCGAGAATTGGTAAAGCAAGGATAGCATTTCTACAGTTGAAGAACATATGAAACTCACGACAACTGTTAACCAACATCAAAGTCAGAATCTTCAATACTATAGGGAGATGAAACTTGCAGAACCACTACAACCATCATCCAAATAGTACAAGTATTTCTAAACAATTGTCTACATGAGATACTCAATGTCTGTTGACTGGATATCATCAGCAACCGTCTAATGTGAAGGAGGACAGACGAGTTTCCAGATGGAAAGGAAATCGGGAAATGATATTGGAAGTGAATAGGACATACATTGAGGAAATCATCAAACGGAATCACGAAGCAAGCACTGACTTGTAATTTCTGAGGGAACTGAAAAGGAGGAGGGCCAAAGTTCACACTGCTCTGAGAATTGGAAGCAAATGTGAAAAGGATGAACAGGAGCTGGAAACAGCTGGGAAGGATTGTCCAAGACAGAGTTGGATGTAGAATGTTGGTTGGTGGTCTATGCTCCTCCATGAGAGGTAACAAGCATAAGTAAGTAAGTAAGATCCTTCTAGTTTTAATTCTGCATTAAATATCATCTGATAACTTGAAAATTATTGATTTAAGTTGCAAAATGAAGTGTAGTTTTTTGATAGAAATTCTACAAATGCCATAGCTAAAATTATAGAGGTAATGTTTCCAGCGTAAGGTAATGAAGGCAGTTAGTAGAATACAGTTTGTTTATAATTTCAAATCTATCAACAGTAAGTACATAAAATCGTAAAGGTATTGTTCGGGACTCACATCAAATACGTCATCTCCAAGACGTTGATATTGTATGAATTATTAAATGAGATATAACTTTAAAGGATCAAACACATATATTGACTAGTCACTAAGAGGTAACAAACGTTATTTTTACTACTACTATTATAATCACATTGAAATACTATTTGTAATAACTGACTTAATTCTTCTTTATTTGTTCGCTTTATCATAAAATAAATCAATTAAGTGAACCATACCGTTTATTTTATCATGATACTTTCTTTAACAGAATTTTCCTAGTTATATGAAAGAGAAGAAATTACTTTTCTAAACTCATTTTAATCCTAAAATCTTAATCAATTTTTTTATTTTCTTTTCTTTCTTTTATTTAATAAATGAACCAAAATTTGGACAAACTCATTTTATTACATTTGAGAAAAGCTTAGTAACATACAAGTTGTCCTTAATTAATTGATCGCTTTTTAGTTATTTTTTTTTAAAAAAAAGAAATAACTATCATACTGAAAAAGGAAATGATTTTATTGTTTAATCAAAAATCAATCTGAAACAATTTTGTTTTAAAGGGAAACAAATGTGATTTGTAATTAAATTGAATTTTTTTTGTTAGTGTAAAACAATTAATTCTTCATAAACCTAGTTAAACTATTAATTTATTATATAATAAAAATAGTTCCTATTTTAATATTGTTTTTTAGTTGTTTACTATAAAAAATTGTTTCCTAGGATCAGTATTTTACATTTTTGTCGTGGATGAGCACTAGTGAGGAGTCCCACAATAGAGCGAAATAACCGTCCAGTGTTTCCAGGTTTTCCATGGTGGTCTAGGTTTAATTGTCTCATGGTCTCAACTATTGAAATAACTATAATATTCACAAAACCCCTCTCTGAAAAAAATATGTTTAGAATACAGTTTATTAAATAAAGCTAATTTCTTTCAATAAACAAGTATTATAATTAAGTATTTCTCATTTAAATATGTATAACTAAAGTAGAAGTCAAATAACTTTCAAAGTATTTTTTAAATATTATACAAATACATTAAATGTGGAAAGATGAATCAAAGGTTTTCTTTTAAATAAATAATATAATTGTAATATCCCGATGAGTAGAAAAATTAGATTTTCTAACGTTTCGTGACTTAATGTAAGCCACTTCTCCAGAGAATAAATAACTAAATTAGAGTTCACCAAGTTTTTGATTTGGTTATTTATTTTCTGAAGAAGTGGCTTACGCGAAGTCACGAAACGTCAGAAAATCTAATGTTCTACTCATTGGAATATTACAAATATATTATTTTTATTTAATAACAATCTACCCAATGCTCAATTTACTTGAAACTATCAAGTCAAACTTTGGTAATGATACCTATAAGGTTTTGTCTATTCATCTGCTTAAACTTTTTATCAATGTTCAAATTTTTTTCTATGAGAAAGTAATTATATTATTTGATGCATTATTTTGTAAAATAAGAAAGCTTGGTTCAACGAAATGTTCTGTTTTCGGTGAATTCATTTACAAAACTGTACAATCGTAAACATATACTTTGTTCATAAAACGATAATAATCACAGTAATATTGATAATAATAATAATAATAAAATTCTACTAAACATGGTAAAAGTGAGACAGAATAAACAAAGGCACTAAAACATTATATTTATCAAGGAAACTAATAATAATTTTGTTATAGAGAGCTTGAGTATTCATCCTGAAGATGGACACGGGAATTATAATTGGGAAGAGAATGTTTATCATGATAAGATAAAATGTTGTATATGAAATGAACTGTAATCAGGAGGACTATAAAGACAGAAGCAAATCGGTTGGAGGTAAAAGGCCCACAGAAAGGATAGAAGGGGAAGCAGATGGCTGTAAAGCGAGATAAGTATAAAGAAGAAGGGAAATTATGAGACGATAAGACCATGATAGGAGAAGAGGCTGCATAATTTTTTGAGGGTACATAGTGTTTCGGTTAAACTGAGACGATGGAATGTAACTGTCATTGACAGCTATCTACTCACCTTGCAAATGAGTTTGAACACAGAATTCTCTTTAACTGAATGACTTGTGTTCACAAGGTGTTTGATTATTCAACTTCTTGTCGAGTAATCTCTTTTTGTTATCAGCTAAGCCGGATAATGTTCTCTAGTGCTTTTGAATGAAATGAGCACCAAACAATTTATATACCTGGCTACACATGAACAGGTAAGTTGATAAACGCACATAGGACTGGTCAAACTAGATAATTTATGAATAAGATTATTTGTGAACACTGATCGGCTGAAAAACACTATTTGAAAAGCTGCTGCAAAGAACGGTTTATTGAGAGTCAAAAACGTTTTAGGATATCTGTAGCTTATTCACCTTTGAAATCGATGTTCACATAGTGTTTTCTTTTAAATAGAGGTCATTTGTACTGTCGGTGGTTCTGCTTTTACATTCTTATCGGTAAATATCTCTGATCCTACTGATTGCAGTTCATCTCATATACAACATTTTATCTTATCATGATAAACATTCTCTTCCCAATTATAATTCCCGTGTCCATCTTCAGGATGAATACTCAAGCTCTCTATAACAAAATTATTATTAGTTTCCTTGATAAATATAATGTTTTAGTGCCTTTGTTTATTCTGTCTCACTTTTACCATGTTTAGTAGAATTTTATTATTATTATTATTATTATCAATATTATTGTGATTATTATCGTTTTATGAACAAAGTATATGTTTACGATTGTACAGTTTTGTAAATGAATTCACCGAAAACAGAACATTTCGTTGAACCAAGCTTTGCTATTGTACGTCTTACTGGGTATTCTTATGTCCCTTGCATAGATTCTTCAAAATAAAGTATTTTAAAAATTCTTTTTTCAGAAATGGTGATGTTTTCTATCAATCTATGGTTTCAACAAACTTCCCTAATGTCTAATGAATTGCTCTGCTTCACAGAATGGGTTCTGATATAAGTTTTAAATGTGGATGTTTGGATTCCAATTATCTTTTAAACATGATTGACATACAAAAATATGTTTACCTAGTTTTTTTAATGATAATTCATATTGTATTTTGTCTAACTGTGGTTCATAGATTTTCGCCTCCACTTATAAACTTATTTTCCTGTTAGCTTGATTGGTAATTACCTTAACCATTCTTTTTATTTATTGTTTGAAATAGAATCTAACAGATAATATCTATGAATATAAAGAATTAAATAGTATGAACCGGGTAACAACTTACTGTAGATCACAATTAATTAGCATCCTGATTACGCCTTAACTAGAAAATTATCTACAACGTTATTCAAGTCGCTGTTAGAGAAATGCACGGAAATGACTTTTCTTGATCTAGATAGTTTAGTATAATTAATTTGAATAGGAAAATAGTTTTTGATTGCTTGGTTTAACGTTCATTACATTTTTTTCGAAATCTCATGTAATAAGCTGTTGTTGTCCATTAAACATAAACTTATAATTTCGTTCACATTTCCTTCATTGCTTTCAAGTATTTTCTAAGAAAACAATTTGCTATGATCCACAATAAGTCACTTGAAGAGAATACTTTTCTGCATTAAGTGAAGGATTTGCATAAAGATATCAGTCAATCACTGAGACATATGTATTGAGTACAGTGTAGAGATTTATCAACTAGACCACCTCATTGTTAATCAATAGCTTAAAAGCTATTAGCGTCTTTCTACTACTTTGGTTCAGAATAACCGCATGTATCCATAATCTTAAGACAAAAAATATATATCAAAGGTAATGCACAAAATTGGATTCTGTTAAGAATTTATAAACGTTTAAAAGTTCGTCATAGTTTTATTCTTTATCAAAATTGTATTACATGGAATATCACTTTTGATTATTTTTAGTTCTAAAGTGTTATATCCCGATAAGAATAATGAATGGTAATTCTTGGGATCCATTTATGGACCAATACTATGAGTATATTTTTATCGTGTAATTGTTATATAACTAAACTTCATATTCATGTCCCTCTTATTATAAGCTTTAATTTGACTTATAGTCTATTACTATACGATTTACCATTATTGAGTTATGGCCTGTCTATTAATTACTATATCCCTCATTCACAGCCACTTGTGGCTAAATCTTGTACAAATGTTGTTTCATATTTTATGGTACGTTGTGGTCTGTCTGGTTGATATATAAACCTAGTATGTTTGAAATATATGATTCATATTGCAGAGGCTGAGATTGGTGTTCTGAACTTAACTGGCTGGGCTAGACAGGAAGTGAGACCAATAAGGACTCTAGACTGCTCGCATGTGTTTTATGCGTCACTGGTTCAATCGATAATTCACTGCTCTCTGATTGGCGGTATCGTTGCGTTATCCAATATGCAGAGCACACAGGTTCACAAGTTATAACATAAAGAAAAAAAATTATATAAATGGTAGGAAGATTTATGAAAATGTCAACATGTACAACTATCTAAATGAACAGAGTTAGTTTTAAAAACGGTTGCAAGAAAATAGAATTTTACGTTATGATTTTCAAATAAGTAATTTCTGAACCGTTTTCATTCACAAAAATGTCTTAGTATTCTAATCAATTTATATTGATTCTTCGAGTGCAAAACGTGGGGTTTATTCCTAACTGATTTTTTACATTGGCATTTCAGTCAAAAATGATCAAACTTCAAGTAGATATTACACATGATAGTTTGTTAACTTTCATTTACTACAGATTATTTTGTAGTTATGATTACTAATTTTATATAAATTATATTAATTCTTGCTAACCATTTTAAATCACTATGTAAACACTGTATTAGTATGCGTAACTGACAAAAATGCAACAAGATATTTTGTTTTGTCATTTGAGTTAAAACTAAGAGTTCAAACTATTAGTTCAACTTTACTAACATAATTAGTTGTAAGTTTATACGTATTGTAAAAATCCAGATTAGTGAGTCAAAATCAAACAGGAACAGGGATGAAATATTTACTATAAGAAACAACTAATTGA